GTCGAACGCTGCCGAACGCGGAGGCCGATTGTGCCTCTTTGTCGCTCGTTCCGCGCTCTCGCTTGCACTTCAAGCCTTAAATGGAACGCCTCAGAGCGAGGTAACGCTGCATGAGTCATGTTTTTTCGTGCGTGCAGCCGGCTCCATCGAATTATAAGACGTTGTCACGTCAAAAGACCAAGATCGGGACTACATCAACAAGACCAAGATCAAGACTATAAGTATTTGAGCAAGACCAAGACCAAGGCTAGAAGTATTTGAGCAAGACCAAGACCAAGGCTAGAAGTATTTGAGCAAGACCACTACCAATATCAAGACTCGGATAGTCTTGGTGTTGGTCTTGTTTTGCTCTTCAGTAATACTAGTTGAGCCATTCAAATTTGGACTGTGGTAACTTTCCACACATGGCATTTAAGGATACTTTTGCTCAAATAATATTTGTAAATTTGAAAATTGTAAGGTTGGAATGCACTAGTTAGAATAAGTAAAACCTTTAAAAATCGATATTTCGCCATTGCTCTTTCGTTATTGCTGTAATTCCTTGATATATTCGGTACTTTTCCAGTCGTATTAGCTATGTTTTGATGCGTATATTAACTTTATTAGATAGAGCTGAAGACCATTAATAAATGTAGTAACCGAGTGGGCAAAACAGAGTGACGCCGATCTGATAATAGTTATTATATAAGTAATTACAATGCAAAAAAATTCAGTAACAAACATTTCCGATTTTTTCGATAAGAATGATATTTTGTTATTATTGTTTGTATTTGTTGTTATCTTTTAATTAGTAGATAATTTACGTTTTTTGTATGCTTACTTCAGGATAGGAAAGAGTGGAGGTGCGTATCCAACCAGTCTTTTATTTTATTTTTTACAGATTACGTACAACTTTCGTTAACTTGAAAAAATCGATATTGTCAAAAGCTGTTATTGTTTTCGGTTTACACTTGCGATCCTGCTAAACCACACAGCCCGGTGAAACCATTGTAAAGCACACTAAAATCTAGTTGCATAAGCGTCATTTTTATTAAGTTATGAAATCCAAATTTATCTGGTCTTTACATGCTCAACAAGCACGTTCAACATGTTTAATAAGAAGCAAGTTCATTATCTTGACTTTGTACACCACCAAAAAGGAGCTTTTAGCTGGAAATCGAATGTTTAATATGAACTTAATCTTACCCTAACGTAATCTAGAAGTGAAAAGATAACTTCTTGTAGAGATCTTTATTTTTTCGGTAAAACTATAGAATTACGGTTTTAGATAAAGACACTTCAAAAGAAGTAGTGCTTACTATTTATGTTAAATTAGGTTAGGTTAATTTCTTTCTTAATAGCGAGATTCCACCCTTTCGTTTCCACTTAATTAGACAACTTATTAATAACTTGCTTAGTTAGAAATGACGCATGGGTATATACAGTTGGAACGATCAGAATTGGCAAAATCAGCAATAAATTATCTGTGGGAATGGACGTATCTTCTTTCTTGTTTCCTCTTGCGACTGTAGTCATTTGCTGCGTTTTAAATACGCGCTTCTTAAGTTAGGAAGTGCCTCGTGACTAGTAAAGACAAAATGAAAAGAGATAACCGAGTAATAGTGAGCAATGCAGCGGCTAGAGGTTCCTTAGGTACGCAAAAGATCAGGGTCGGCTTTATAATTGCCTGGTGGAAATTACATCTTTAAACAAGCGTCTTTGCTTTCCTAAATTTCTCAGAATGTTGAACTTTCTTTAAAAAGCGATGCTTAAATTCTGCTTGTCTACATCTCTCTGTTTTTCTTTTTTCTTTATTAGTGTCCGCTGCAATTCCTACCTGACATCTCTTTTCTATGTTTACGATATTCCCTGTAACGTCTGTCGTGAGTAAAAGTAGGCGTTCTGTCAGAAACCGTTCTAGTCTAGTTAGTAAGTTGAAAGAGGAAAGTATACTTTATTTATTTTCTCTAGCGATGTGCCCCTTCCAATGTCTTAGATGCGCGCTGGCAAAATCGTAGGTAGAGAAAAAAAGGTTAATATTCTCTCGATTCTTGTTCATTAAATATACTTTTCCATACAGTACCTACCAAAAGTTTTGTTCAATCATGAATAGTAGTGCGAGTCGAAAACAAGCGTTAAAACCTTTAATATGTCTTCAAGTATAAATAAACATCTCGTTGATATTTTCAGTAGTAATTGGTACTAATAACAGCACATTTGAGCAATGCAATTTTAGTGGATAAAATGATCAATTTCTCCTTGCAGTACTGTACGGATTATACGCTCCTCACCGGTTGAGAGTTTGGCCGAGAGTTGTCTCCTTTCTTGTCTGGCCTAGTGTTGTTCTTTTCTACTTTGCGCCGGTCAAACTAAAGGTCACACCGCTAGAGAAACTAAACGAAGTATAAATGCGACAGTTTTATTGCGGTCTATGTCAATTTTGAACGTCTCAACCGTAGGTACATCAGCGCAGCGCTTTCGTGGGTTTAAGTAAGCATGTAATTATACTCTTCCGAATTATTACATAACTACACATAAATTACATTATCTAAGGTCTGTCACATATTATAAAGGTACGGTGTTACTGTTTCTGTACTTATAACAAAATTTTAGATTGTATTGCTTGATAAAGTCGAGATAGGTAAGCGAAATTCGTTTATTGATCGCGTTAAAAAATATTTTTAAGTATAATTTTTTTGCCGAATTGCT